CGTGCCTTCGTAATCATCATTAGACTCATCCAAATCTTGCCGAATTCTCTGCACTGTCCTCAGATTCACACCTAAACACTCTGAAATGTTCATATTGAAGCGCAAATGCCAAGCAGTAAAACATGCCTTTTTTAAATTTCTGGCGGGGTGAATTGCGTCATGATGCCCTTTTTTCTCAGAGACGGTGCCCAACTGACCCTACTATACTACTGCTGTCGGCATAATCAGTTTTATATTTTTATCATATATATTTATATAACTTGTTGTCGTTCGATCTCCAGATACCGCTGTGTGAACATGCCAATAAAAGACAACCAGAGACGATATGCTTACTGGTAAAAGTACTCTCACTGATATGTTTTTTTTTTTCAGTAAGTAGGTTTTCTGGTTTCAATAAATATCTTCCTAACATTGCAAATATGGCTTATTTACTTATCAACCGCACTGATACCCCAATGTCGTCCCATTATTTAAGATAACCGCAAATAGATGGCTATAAAAAATAATATCCACTAAACAAATTCACAAGAAATATTGGAATACCTAGGGGTGACAGCCCTTCATAATTGATTCTTTCTTTTTGTCTCATCTGGCCAACTAGGAAAAGAATATAGCATAACAAGCACTGGCAATCATTTACTTATTGGTTGCTAGGTAACAACGGTCGACTGAGTTTGTGTGTTTGCTAATGGCGGTCCTTGCAACAAGTTTTTTATTTTTTTTATTCTGAAGCGTTTTGATTTCACTTATACCTGTTTTAATTCATTCATTCATTCATTCAACGTTTAATTTATTCGTCTATTTTCTCAAATTCGTTCGCAATTTCTTTTTCTTTTTCTTTTTTTTTTTTACTAAATGTTGGATTCTATGTCGTCTCTCTGTGCCCAAGCTGCTACATAAAATGGTATCAACGAAAAGGACAATTTATTCTTCTCGTTCGTTTTATTAGGAGATAGAGTGTTAGACGTGGTTCTGCAGAAGGATGCTAAGGATATCATGGACCTAGCGTGTGAGCAACGATGAGATCTTAAAGAGGTTGTAAACAAGGAGGAGGCTTATGGCTTATACTTAATATCAGGAAGAGGCGGCTGAAGTTTCTGGGACACATAATGAGTAAGGAGGGCCTGGCGAATCTGATACTCAAGGGTCGAATAGACGGAAAGAGAGAGACAAGGGAAAACAACGCGTGACATACCTGGCGGGCTTAAGCAAGTGGATGACAGAACGTGGTCTATGGAAGGAACCAGAGGGAAGGAACTTGTTGAGAGCTGCAAGCGATAGAGGGAGGTGGAGAGCCATGATCTGAAAGGACATGGTACATAAAAAGAAAAGAAGGTGGCAGTTTAGGTTCTAGGGTGGGAGGAGGAATGATGTCAGAGAAACGCATGCCACACGTTTGCCCAGTGTCCTTCCGCGGATGGTCTTAGCCCTTCTCTAACCTGGTTATGGGAGGTGTGCCGACGCTTCAGAATTCTTTGGACCCTATGTTGAATTCGAACCGTTTTGGACTTATATCCAAAACCTAGACAAAGGCAATCCATCATTGTCGGAATATCACGCCCACGACTCAATCCGACCAATCGCTAACAGTTGTTCCTCTGGCCTTCGCCTTCTGAAACATAAATTTCACCCAGTAAGATGATCGAGAGCGACTCAAGGTAGAGGGATACGGTTGAAATAGTAATGATGAATGAGGTGTGAGATACTAGCAGAAGAGAAGGTTTTCGGAAGTGGAGACTATGAGGATAAGGTGGATAGATAATGATTGGCGCTGGAAGATGTCAGCCCTGGGTATGACGATAGATTACATCCGGCAGCAAGACCTCTGATCTGGACATTGCAGGTTATAAGGAGCTTGAAACCACTTCTTAATTACTGTTGTACCCAGAGTCACCCTGATCCAGTGTGGTAGCACCTGTTAGGGTCCCAGCTATGGGCAAATAGTGAACCCCAAACAAAATCAAAACACTATGAATTTATAAAAAATATATTTGTATAGCAAAAATACCAGTAATATATTTTATACAAAAATTACCAAAAATACCTGTTTATACTAAAATTACCAACAATACGTATTTATAATACCACCAGTAACTATTTAAAGTAAAATTACTAACAATACAATTTTATAGAAAAATGACCAACACCTCATTTTATTTGTAGTTGAAGACATACAATTACGTTCAAAATATATTTAGTTGAAGCTATAAAATTGTGTTCCAAAAATTTAGATTTCAGCTTTTAATAACCCATAGAAGTGTTGATATGCCGCGAAACAAAATCAACCAACCAAAATGAAAGAACTTTTTCATGACATTAATCCATATAATATCCTACAGTTTCTTAAAGAAATCAAACTGTATTCCAAAATATAACTTCAATAAAACTACAACATAAAACACACATATCACCGCCTCAAGTAATTATGTCCACACAAACATGTATATATATAAAAGCTGAGTATCAATTACCATGGAATCTATTGTGAAAGCAAGTATATTATTTATTTCTTCAAAGCTCAAAAAAAGGATTAAATTTTGGTATTAAATGACCCATAAAGAGTTGATGTGCCGTTAATCAATAAAATAAAATAAAATCACTTTCAGAGCGTGGTTGAGCATGGCGCGACACAACTTCCTGCTCTAGTGACGTGGCTTCACTTTGTCTTTTCTGTAAATATTTTCATAGCAATTGTTCTAATGAGCTCTCTTTGGTACCTCGACTTTAATGAATCTAAGCGTACTACTAGATTGGTCATTTGGTCCCAACCTTATACTGTTGAACGAAAAAAATGTAACCGTTGATATAGCACTAAACCTCGCGCTTGAAGATGTGAAGACTGTAATGTTCGACGACTCATCCTCGCGGATGTTTGTTCCAAAAAGTAACCGTCCGTTTCTGATTAGAACTTCCTTCTTAAATTTGGAACAAAGTGGGAAATAAGGGTGATTCGGCTCTGTGGACGTAGCATAACGTGCCCTAACAGTAAATATCTAAACAGGTGGAATGGATCTCGTCGGACATGAAAATAGTGATTGGTTAGCCTCAAGTTTGCAATGTTATGACTGTACGAAAGAGATTGGAGAGTGGGAAATATGACGCTTTTGGGCTTTATCGTGAATTTAAAATAAGGACTGGGGAGCACCCGCCCAAATATGACAACAGTACCTTATTTTCGGCCTGATCTGGCTCTTGTAAAGGTAGAGGATACCATGAGGAGTCAGGTACTTACTGGAACGCTACAGGGAGCCGACCCTTTTTCCAGCATCTTCATCGAGTTTTACTGGAGATCAGGTGTGAATTTGAGGTTACGTTAAGTAGCGGTTTATACGTATAGGAAGGGAAGGTAATGGTTAATTCTAGACTTGAACAGGTTAAGATTGTAATGATCGGGGTAACATCCTCTTGTAGTCTGTTCCATAGGACAGTGGTTCGGGGGAAGAAGCTGTTTGAGTGGAACTTACTTTGCACCGATGGAATACGGTGGGAATGTGGGTGATTTGCTACAAAGTAAGTGTCATGGCGGGTCCTGGCCGTGAATGTTAAACCTGGCGGAACCAAGGAATGTAGTTCATCTGAGCACTTTCCATGGAAGTAGCGATAGAACAGTGAGAGGATAGCTACATCCCGCCTGTGAGGGAGAAGTTGGAGGGTGGGAATTAATTCGTCACCGACAAGGACCCGGAGACGCTTTTTAATTCTATCGAGACTGGAAAGTGAGGACCGGGGAGCTCCCGTCAAAATATGGTAGCAGTACTCCATTTTCGGTCTCAACTGACTCTTGTAAAGGTAGAAGATAGCATGAGGAGTCAGGTACTTACTGGAACGGTACAGAGAGCCGACCATTTTTCCAGCATCTTTATCGATGAATCGTATGTACGAGTTCTACTTGAGGTTAGGCGTGTGTTTAAGTCCCAATCTTACATTTAGATTAGAAAAGAGGTCATTTGTAAATCTCTGCCATGATTATACTTTTTTTAAAGTAAGTTTTATCCTGTACAAGGCCTTGGAGCCACTCGAGCTAGAGGGATACACTAAGAGGTAGTTTATATGAATAGACGCCTGTTCAAACATTACCAAATAATAAGGAACACTGTTTATTACTGATTAAGATATAAATTCTTTGGGATCCATCAGTCAAATTATGCCATTTCTTTTCAGTATAAACAAGGAAGCAGAGTACTAAAAAATAAAAAGAACTTCGCTAAAAACAAGGAAAAGAGTACTAAACTACTGTTGCAGTTTTTTGGGTATTTCTGTACTAGTGAGCTGGCCTAATTGGGCTGACTCATTTTATAGTTCACCAATAGAAGGGTTAACCAATCAGAAAGCTCAAAATATTCAATGCGACGTGTATAAAGGCGGCCATTTTTTTTTCTCCCAAATTGTCTGCACTGCCAACCTGATATCGAATACTTAAAGAATTACTTAACAGCCGCTACTTTCTCTGAATCTTCACTGCCGACCTCTGATATTGAACAGATTACGGACTTCACTGGATTCCATATTCAAAGACTACGCCAAACATGATCAACAACTGCTACGTGATATCTTTCCAACTGTATGTCAATGAGTACTGGACGATCTCCTAAAAAATGACGAGGTGACTTGAAGTAACAGAAATTTGGGTCTACAGAAGGATGCTGAGGATCCCATAAACTAAACATAAGAGCAACGACGAAATTTTGGAGAAAAAGGAAACAAAAAGGAAACAAATATTTAATATCAGGCTGAGACAGTTGAGGTTTTTGGGGCACATAATGAGGAAAGAGGGCTTGGAAAATCTGGTACTCACTTGACATATAGAGAGTAACGCATAACATACTTAGTGAGCTTGAGTAAATGGATGGCGGGACAGGTCTTACGAGAAATAACAAAAAGACAATGTTTATTAAGAGCTAAAAGGAACAGGATATTTTGGAGTGCTATGACCGCCTTTGCAAATCTGTTTTAATTTTTGAAGTGCGTACATAAACAGCGGAATCATCTGATGTTGACTTATGACCCGAGGCAAAATGAGAGAGAAGAACCAAGAAGAGGTCTTTTGGGACGATCTCATTTATCTGAGGAGATTCGGTTTTATTATTGATGGACACAATCTTAATAAGATATGCAAATGACACTGTGTCGATGGCAGACATAGCTCAAGGTAGGAGGGGAAATTGAATGAAAGGCTTCAAATACTGCGAAATGAAATATTTAATTAATAGAGTTAACGCTTGTTGGAATTTATTTAACTATACGAATAATGTCCGTTAAAAATATTTATTTACACGGATAATGTCCATTAAAAACACTAATAATTCCTTGTTTTAAGATAAAACTCCGGGTACAGTTTGGCCTTCGAACAAAAAAAAATATGTCAAAAGGACGGTGTTTCTATTGACACCACTATTATTATTACATGCTCTCCCGACTCCCTCGTTCCCGACACCCTCGTTCCCGATTCCCTCGCTTTTAACTTCCTCGTTCCCGACTCCCTCGTTCCCGACAACCTCGTTTTCGACTCTCCCGTTCCCGACTCCCTCGTTTTCGATTCCCTCGTTCTCGACTTCCTAGTTCCCAACTTCCTCGTACCCGACTCCCTCTTTCTTGACTTACTTCTCCTCGACTCCCTCATTCTCGGCTTCCTCGTTTTCGACTCCCTTGTTCCCGACTCCGCCTTCCCATTCCCTCGTTTCCGACTCCCTCGTTTCCGACTCCCTCGTTTCCGACTCCCTCGTTTCCGACTCCCCCGTTCCCGACTCTCTCGTTCTCGACTCCCCCCGTTCCCGACTCCCTCGTTTTCGAATCCGTCGTTTCTGACTCCCTTGTTCCCGACTCCCTATTTCTCGACTCCCTCGTTTTCGATTCCCTCCTTCTCGACTTCCTCGTTCCCAACTCCCTCGTACCCGACTCCCTCTTTCTTGACTTACTTCTCCCCGACTCCCTCATTCTCGGCTTCCTCGTTTTCGACTCCCTCGTTCCCGACTCCTCCGTTCCCGATTCCCTCGCTTTCAACTTCCTCGTTCCCGACAACCTCGTTTTCGACTCCCCCGTTCCCGACTCCCTCGTTTTCGATTCCCTCGTTCTCGACTTCCTCGTTCCCAACTCCCTCTTACCCGACTCCCTCTTTCTTGACTTACTTCTCCTCAACTCCCTCATTCTCGGCTTCCTCGTTTTCGACTCCCTTGTTCCCGACTCCGCCGTTCCCGATTCCCTCGTTTCCGACTCCCTCGTTTCCGACTCCCCCGTTCCCGACTCCCTCGTTCTCGACTCTCCCGTTCCCGACTCGCTCGTTTTCGAATCCGTCGTTTCTGACTCCCTTGTTCCCGACTCCCTATTTCTCGACTCCCTTGTTTTTGACTCCCTCGTTCCCGACTCTCTCGTTTTCGTCTCCCTTGTTCCCGACTCCCTCATTCTCCACTCCCTCGTTCCCGACTCCCTCGTTTTTGACTCCTGTATTCTCGAATCCCTCGTTCCCGACGCCCTTAGCGATGTTTATTGTTCTTAAAAGTTATGTTTAGAATTTTAATACCAAAAATGTTACACATTATTTAATCCTTAGATTTTTTTTATTTACAAGATTAATTTTATATTTTTTTAATCATTTCACCCCATACAAGGTAATATAGCCTTTCCTTTCAAATTATTTTTTTTTTTTAATCTACTTTTTCTTCTTTTTATTATCTTTTCTTTGAAACCTTGAATTTCCTTACGAGGGAAACCCACTCGACTTTTGGGCACCGGAATTCCTTCATTTCTGTTTTTCGTTGTGTGTACCAACTGACTTTGAAATTGATCCCTTTAAAATTTTAAAATAAGTTTTTACTTTTCTGAATTCCTGTTTCACTAGGTATTTTTATTTTATGTATTTATTTTATTTTAGTGTCATACTTCAATTAATTATTTTTATTTTAGTTTCACTTAACTAATTAGAACCTAATTCTAGAAAAATAATTTTTACCTCTAACTTATCTTCCTTATTAAATTTTTATTTGAAATTCTTATTTTTTAATTTGCATGTCATTTTGCAATTTCCATTAAAATTATTTTTATATTTAACTCCTATTTCGTAAACACATTTTTTTAGTTTTTAATTTACTTTTTCTTCTTTTTATTACTTTTTAGGGGTTAGTGAATGTGCGAGAATAAGATAAAAGAGAAACATTATTAATGAGCGAGAACAATAGAAGAGTAATCAAGAAAGCAGTAGATAACGATTGACATTGCATTTAAATTTTTGAAGATCAATGTTGGCTAGAAAGCATGGAGCCGGAAGAGAGTTCCACAAGAAAGAAGTGCGAGAGAAGGAAATGTTAACATAGAACTTACTGTTACATCTAGCCAATTCAACTGTAAAATGATGAGACCGAGTTGCCGATCTAGTACTACGCTTAAATTCTTACAGTTTAGGTACCATAGCGAAGAGTTCGTCTGAACAATTAAAATGAAAGCATTTATAGAAGTGGGTACAGGGAAACTACATTACGGTGGCTGGAAAGTGACTAAAACCGAGATGCCATGTTAGGACCAATAATATTGCCGATTTTTTAGATTTAGTCAAGAATCCATAAATATATAGCAAAAGCACCGGACAATATATATGGCAGTATATATATATATATATATATATATATATATATATATATATATATATATATATATATATTACAGCAAAAAGACAAAAATTACCTAAATATAAAAGATAGAATAGGACTGAAAATTGAAAATAAATTTAAAACAATGCTCCGAGACAGACACTTAGGGGCTGATGATAGCCATGTACAGAACGGTTTGAAATAGACAATCTCTATGTTGAGGTTTTTTTGGGGTTTTTTATGTAAAAATGCATATGCTCTGTTAAAATAAAAACATCGAGCTCTCTGTGGATCAGTTTTAATAATTAATATTAGTAGGATCCACCTGGATTATATATCAACGGATCGATTATCTGTACTATATATATATATATATATATATATATATATATATATATATATATATATATATATATATATATATTCGAAAATTATAACATAAATATGTTAAAAAATAAAATCACTACAAAAATAGTCATTTTGCTTCAACACTTCGGGTGTCTTACACCTTATATTAAATTAAGTAAATCTTTATTCGCTTATTTGTGCATGCACGCTAACGCACGAATTTATATGCGTATCTAATTATTTGGTTTATATCCACATTTTACCTATATATATATATATATATATATATATATATATATATGTCTGTGTGTGTATGTGTGTGTATATATATATATATATATAGATAGATAGATAGATAGATAGATAGATAGATAGATAAAAATGTGTATATATAATAATTATAAAAATAGCCATTTTGTTCCAACACTTCTGGTGTCTTATCAAGTGGTGGTGTTGAATGTAGAATAAAGGGTTTTAAAAATATATATAAATCATAGATTTTTACATGTGGACAAAAACAATTACCCACTACACAGATGAGGAGTTGGAGAATTCTGAAACAGGCCAGAACCTGCAGATCTCTGAAAGAACCCTGTTTTTTATATCTGTATTATTAGGATTTTCAATAATAGTCAATTGTTAAATCAAAGATCCGCGACTACTGTTTTTTGTAGGCACATTAAAGATCTAACATTACAATCTTGCTAAAACTTCAAACTTATAACTAACCTCCTTCATACATTTTATATTGTCTTATACATCTTTACTGATCTATCCTGAATTACAACTCTAAAATTTTTTATGCACATGTACAATACTACTAATAATATCAGATAACTAGATTTATAATATCAGATATCTATACTTATTTTACAAGGTATATAGTTTGATAATAGGCTTAATTTTATAGAAAACATATTAGCAATCTATATTGTCTATGTTTTTTTACTTACGTCTTAAATTCTGAACAAAAATTTATTGTAGTATTTTTTAAATAACTTATGTATTTTTTAAACACTTTTATTAATTTACATACTAAGTTTAACCAAAAACAAGAGAGAGAAACTCCAATCTAAACTTGGGGTCACTTAGCCTTGACTCTGACCTAAAATAGTTGGCCTTTAGCCAGTGGAATCTTTTCTCGATTACTACTATGCCCTTACCAACAACTATCTCTATATTTCTCCTTTCACTTTTTCCTATCTCTCCTCCCTCCTCACCTCTTACCCCTCTCTATCTCTCTTTTTTTGCTTGGTGTTTTGACGTGGGGGCTTTAATATCTGATCATTGCATAGCATCAAAAATTTTAGCCCGCACTTCCACTATGAAAACTACTATTATCTTATTCTTTAACCTCCTCTTCTTTCCTTTCTTCAACCTCTTCTTTACCCCTCTCTATTTCATCTTAAGGTGTATCTCCCTATAGGTTTTTTTTTTATGAAGTGACGTACCATAGGGGGCTTGTTTTTGAACGGAATCGTCTCTAACCATTTTTAGTTCCCAACAGTCGAGACGCAAATAAGGCATCGAAACAAGAACGCATCTTTGTAGTGGGTAATTGTTTTTTTGTCCACATATAAAAATCTATAATAAATAATTATTGCTCTACTCTTGGTATTGAGCCCTTTTCTGAAATAATGCTGTGAACGCTAGAATTTACATTATTTCTCGGTATATATATATATATATATATATATATATATATATATATATATATATATATATATATATATATGAATGAGGAGGCACGGTGGAGTAATGGAAAGCGGAATCGGGGAATCGGAGAGCCGAGTTCAAATTCCAGTCGAATCTATTACATTCACTTACGTGCATCCTCTTCTTCTCCCTCCAGCTATGGGTAAATAGCAGGACAGACTGGGTTCTATAGCACTGGATGGCAACTGGTCTAGGAGAAGGACAATTCTGAATTCAAAACCTGCGGAGGGTCGTTTGGGGACCTTGTGGCACGTAGTGCACCAGGTCTCTGTATTCGGACCTTCAAAAAGTGTGGATGATCCTGCGCGAAACCTTCACCACTATAATCAAATCATGTGCTGTTGTGTCTGCTTGAT